TTAATTTACATTTACAAAGTAATTCAACATTTAAGCAAAACAAATTATATATTTTGATAGGGAGACACATTGATTTTTCGATTTCTGATGTCGGTAAATCTTCCTTGTCAAATGCAGATTTAGGAATTCGACCCGTAACGTAAACAGTCTTAACAGTTTTAGATTGCGCCCCATTGACTTGATCAGATTCTTGGTTTGATAATTTGTTGAAAATTGCTGTGTTTATCGCGTTATAAGAGTCAATGCCATGTAGATTCCATAAATATATAGCAGACATTTTTAAAACAGCCTTTGTTATATTCTGAGTAGTTATATGTTGAAGATCAGATTGAAAATTTTGTAGTTTGACAATCATCGAGTTCGTTGACGGTAGATGATAATTAATTTGAAGATCGGTAATGTTGAATATAAATTTGAATTTTGTATCAAAAAAAGTTTGATTTAGGATTAAATTGAACACTTTTAGTTCTTTTACGATTTGCTCTAATACTTCGAGATATTCAGGTAGTACATGTAAACCTAAGTCTAAATCAGAATTATTTTTCATTTTTTTTTTGGATTGAATCCAAATTGACTGATCTGAGCGTCTATAAACTGTGAAGTAATTGTTTAAACGATCTTTCGTCATCTCACCACACAATACATCTTTTAAGATTTCATTCCTATAACTTTTTATTTCATTTACGTCGGCTACTCTTTCGATTTCATGTATAAAATCATCGAGTATATTATTTTCCTTATTTTCTTGGTTTTCAAGGTAGTCATATTTTCCTAGTCTGATGAGCCAAGCCAGTTTATAAAGTTGTACGTCTAATGCAGATAAAATACGATTGTTTATAGTATTTTTTATTAAAGTTTTGTACAAATTGTAGTCATCTAAGATTCTTGTGACTAAAATTAGTCTTGACAATTTTTTATGATCAAAATTTATCATCAAATCATTCATGCAAGCATTAACCTGAATGGTTGGTTCGATTAAAGTCGCGTTTTCTAGTAATTTATCATATGTTTCATATTGTACTTTTTCATCATAAACAGACTCTCCTTTGTACACCGTTTTAGGCATTAAATTTAAAGAAATAACAGAATTTAAATTTACATTTTCGATAATATAATCATGATAAGCTTGGCTAATATTAGAAAGCAATGAAATGAAGCCTGTGAGTTTGTTAACATCAGGTTGCAAGTACACTGAAATTTTGTTAACTAGACTTACGTTAACTGTTTTGGAAATTTGTTGTATAGATCTTTGTCTGATTGCGTCAATGAATTCTTGTCGTTTAAGTTTTCCATCAATATTTGCGTTAATTAAATGTAGTTTGTATAAATTCGCCAGTTGGGACTCAATTGTATTTTCGTCTATTGGTGTATAAGTAGCAGTAGATTTATCATATAAATAAACATCGACGTAATCAATCATGAGATCCTTATATGGAAATCGACCATCTAACGAAAAAATTTTTTTTTGATACTTTTTGTTAAACCAAATTAACGAAGAATCAGCTGGATCTAAGTTATCCCTGCTTTCGTCCATTTTATAAGTCATTTCGTCCGTGTCTACAGCACAAAGATTATTTTTCTCTGTTGTACTGGATTGGTGTCTTTCAGTTCCCACGCAGATGACACGCGAAGAGTTAATATAACATGGTATTAACAAGTGATTATTGTAACTTGGTAAAGTACTATCTAACTTGATAATGTTTTTTGCGCAAATACTTTCTGAGACTATTATGTTGGATCCAATTTCACTTGTTGGTAAAACTTCGCCCCCTAATGGTACCGGTTTATCGCTTGCAAAACATAACTTATCCGTATAAACACTAAATCCAGACATATTTATTTCCATCAGTATGCTATATGTAATGTGTTCATAGTCACCATAGAGTGTTTTTAAATTATCAGATATATGTTTATCTGCTTTTTTTGAAAAATTCTTAATTTTGCTATACCACTTAGTGTTTCCTTGCGACGGGTATAAACTTCCTTCTATATAGTTTTTTGCTTTTTCCACAGACATCAAATCGATTTTACACCCCACAGCCAGAGGCAGTTGTTCTGAATTGTAAAAGTTTTCAATTCTGACTTCAAAGTTTTTCAAAGTGAACTTCACACTGTTTGCAAGTCTAGCGACTATTCTAAGTAGCAAACTGTTGCGTGCGTATTTGTACAAACAACTGCGGCTATGGTTCTCTAATTGACTTTTTTTTCGTTCTTCTATGTCATCTTTGCATGAATTTTTATTCCAATTAGAAACATTTTGAAAACTCAAAACTGCTATAACGTTCTCAACGTCGACCTTGATAGAACCAGTAAACCAGTTCCAGATAGGTAGCCTTATACTTATTAGCCCAATATACTGGAACTCTAACACTAGTGGAGCGTCGACGAAATTTTCGATAACCTCTGGTTTTAATTGAATATTTCTGAGTTTAATATTGCCTTGAAATAAGTCAGTAAGACTAAAATCATGAGTTGTGATTGGGTGAATGAAGTCCCGCAAATAACTATAAATTAAATTAATGAGCCATTGCATTGTTTATGTATTCATATAAAAGTCACATTTTATCTAATAGCACACTTCTAAGAATATGATCAAAAATCAAATACAAATAATTATCAATAAGACGGAATTATTATAAAATAAATTGGCAGAGAACTTTTAAAACTATTTATGATAAAAAAATTGCCAAAGACAATTTGGATTTAGCCATTGGGTTAAAGATTGGTAGATTATCGGCAAATACAATTAACTGTAAAACAAAAAATTTAAATCATTTTAGAGATAGTGGTTCTAGCTTTAGATAATTTGAATCGCTCGAAATCAGTTAAATCGCGTTTCTTGTAGTAAGAAGACTGCTTCTTACCCCAAGCAGTTTCTTTCCATTGAGAAATAACATCGTTGTTTGCCAAAGCAGCAGTTACGTCGTTAGTGGAAGCTCCACGAGATAAGTCAAGCTTGAAGTCGGTCAAAGCGAGTCTCTTGGTGGAAATTACTTGTCGTTCGATCCCTGGTCCGTCAATAATGACTCGATTGGTGTTGAGTAAATCTACTATAATAACTGGCTAAAAAATCATTCTAAACTGCGAAAAACGTACTTTGTTGTAGACGCTGCCGTATCGGCCTATTGCTAATCTGCCAGCTTCGAAAAATCTTTTAAATAGTGCCATCCTAAATAGAATATTGTATTTCAATACGAATTTTATTGTTTTGTCTAACAACGAAAAATTTAGCAAGAAAAATTTTCTGATATTATAAATAAAGCTGAAAAATAATATTCCTAAAAATAAAAATTTAATGTAATTTCAAATTGAATAAAAATTGATCATGCCGATAAATTTATGATCGATGGTGTGCAGCTAAGGTCTGATGCAAAATCTGACAAAGATGCGAAATATATATGTTGTATCAATAGCAATTCGCTTTTCTTCATCAATATATTAACGAACAACCAGCTTGCCAGCGAAAACATTGCTGAATCTTACGATCTGATCAAACCATTCAATACGCTCAATACAGATGTAAAAGTTTATTTTGACGAAATAACAAATAGTGGTATTAAACATTTAAACAAATTGGTTTTTTATGCGTTTGTAGTTTGTGACATCTGCTCAAGAGATTTTACCTTGTGGAAAAAAATTGCAGATGTCGAAAACGTCACAGCGCTGATTAAGCTAGTAAATGACATCAATACTTCAGAACATGAGCTGCTGCAGTTGCTAGACACAATGCTACGCAGTATCAACCAAAACCCAAACGACACGTCGAAATCTGCAGACAGTAGTGGGAAGCACAAAACTGGGCATCATTCTCATCATTTGAATTTGTCGAATTTGCTACATCACCACCACCCCATGAACTCTAAGGCGTTTAACGAATCAGAGCTTGAACGCAGCCAAATTGTGGATTTGAGAACTTACGGAAAGATGTTATCGATCAACACGGTTTTTATTGATGACTACAATGTGAAAATGTCGCCTGTAATATTGGTCACGTTTATTTACGGACTACTTTTATACATATGTTCGTCTATAATAATTTATTGCAAAAATCTTCCTCAAGAGTACATAAAATACTTCATAAACATATTAACCGCAAAGAACGACATCAAAGTGTCGCTGGGCGATAAAATATTGATAGCACGTAACTTGCTGCGAATTCAGTCCGTCAGGAGTGTGGTTTGCGAACACGTAGGAATAAGAAACTTGATATCTAACTGTCTGCTGTCTGGCAATCTCACGATGATGTACCACGCTAGTTTTTGTTTGTGGTCATGCAGTTTTTCAAAAGAACTTTTTGAAGTCAAGATTGGCGTGTTTTACCATAATCAAGAGCTGATTAAGCTGTGGATCGATAAGGTGCTTTTACATCGAGAAGAAGAAAAAATCGTGAGACTGAACGTGGGCATTATAAACAACTTGACTAAATACAACTGGTTGTTGGGCATATATTTTGACGAGTCTGTGCGTTTCTTTTTGAACAAGTTAATGAGCAAGAAGTGGAAAGACAAAGATCTGAGTGCAGATATAGGTAAAGTGGTAGACGAGTTATACGAACTTGAAAAAAATTTGCTCAGCTTCGACACGTATCTTTCAGAACTCAAATCTGGAAGCTGCTTAAACAAATGTTTCCACGGGGAAATATTTTGGCTGCATCACATAAATCTGATAGAAGCAAACGACTTTGAAGTGGTATCGACTCTGGTAAACATCATTGCCAATTCGGATAAAGATGATCTCATTTCGTCGTCGTTGACAGATCTTTATTACATTTTTAAATATTATCCACATTCAAAAGCCATAGTAAATCGGTTCAAAATAAAGTCTGTCTGCATGAAGTTATTAGAACACAAAGATAAAAACGTCATGAAAAATTCACTGTGTATTTTACAACTTTTAATAATGAATAAAGCATAAACTGAGTAACAAAAATATCAGGATAAAGAGACGTCAAACACAATGATAAAAAATGAACAAATACACTTTAAAAGAACGAGTCAAATTTAGTTGGCCATGGCTTCAGATGCTAAGCGGGCAACTTCAGCAATTTTCATTTGGACTCTTTCCATGCGTTGGGCCTTGGTGAGTTTCTTGGGCCTGAAGTATTTAATTTGTTCCCCTTTAGCGTTATAGGTGACAATGTAGTTGTTTTCTCTGGTGATTTTGTACTGCTTGGGCTCTGCCTTAGGAGTATTAGGGTTGGCGCGGATAGCGTCGTGGACAGCCTGGATTTTCGATTCCAAGTTTTCAGGTGTGATGCCTAATTTAATGTATCTTGAAAACTGTCTGTTGTATTTTTCGGGGTCTTCTTCCTGAAGTTTTTTCATGTACTTAGCTACGTGGATGCCCATAATTCTTTCTCTGTGGAGTTCTGCGTCGTAAGCGCCGTCAGAGGAGTTGGGGTCGTAACCTGGGAATCTTTTGATGGAGTGGGGGATAGATAAACCACCGTCGCAAGCACCTTTGAGAGCACCGAAAACACGGTTTCCTCTAGTAACGATTGAGAGACCGACATCGAGAACTGCTCTAAGAGGAGTTTTGTTGAAGTCTTGGTCTTCGGCTCTGTATTCTTCTCCGTCAAGAGTATTTCTGATGGGAATGTCTTTGTCGAGGTCGAAATGTTTCAAACATTTACGAGCGCAAAGTAGTCCAGTGGCGTAGGCAGCTGCATAGTTAGTGAGTCCTACAGGCATACCGAAACGGGTTAACTCAGATGAGTCAGCACTTGCCACAATAATATCGCCTGACAAAGTTGCATAAGCTACTTGACAGATGACTTTCGAATTGGTGAATCTGACGATAAATCTATACTTTCTGGTTTGATACTTGTTCAAGTCCTGCTTGATGAGGTTTCTCCTCTGCTGGTAGTCAGTTTTTCCTTCGCGTCTTCGACGGTATTTAACTTGGTATCTTGAAAAGTAAGATGGAGTTTTAGTTACTGCAGCTAACACCATTGTTTATTTCGGTTATACTTAAGAAATTACAAAAAAATATTTTTTCGTTTTTGTATTGTCCTTTGTCTAAGCTAGGTTGGGGGCGCTTATTTCGGGCTTGTATGTTATAAAATAAAAAGCCAAATAAGCAATGTTTAACTGTTTAGAATTGCAAAACAAAGTTATTTTGGTAATAGTTAACAGTTGATAAATTCGTATTATAATAAAATTAACTTATGACTAAGTTTATGAAATTTTCATAATAGGGCTTGCCTTCGAAAGCTTGCTTAAGTGTGTCTGCGTGGGTCAAATAGTAAGCCTTTAACTCTTTAGTTTTTTGTTCAAGCGGCTTACTCGGCGCGTATTTTTTGAGCTTTAATAAATCGTGGTGGTATCGCTCAAGAAGCGTAAACGATAAGTCTGGCTTTAGAGAAATCAAAACGGCTTTTAAAAAATTGTCACATATAGTTTCGTCTGTGTTTGAAAGCATCGGTTTGATGATCTGTTTGTACAAAAGCTTAGTATCGTCAATTGTCAACATAAGTTTGGTTAAAAATATATAAGTGAGCTCGTTCTCAAAATAAGTTTTAAGTGCTGTTTCATTGAGAGCCATGCTGGAACTTAGCTGCGCAAAGAACTGCTTAGCTTGTTTTAATGACCAATAGCAAACAAGGTGAATTAAAACTTCAATCGACTCTCTGAAACTCAACATAGCTACGGCCGCATCTATCAACGCGTCTGAAAGCTTCAAATAAGTATCGTCGTCTAGCAGACTCTTTTGGCGTACAACGATTAATAAAAATTTCAAAGTTATGCCGCGTAGAACTAGTTCTTTCAAAACTAACTTGTCAATGAATTCTACTATTCTATTTCGGATGATTGATATCAATTCTGAACTCGCTTTGGAAAGTGACTCTTCGATGGGGATAATTCTGAAATTGGGTATTTCACTCGAAAACAGCTTCTCAAAAAATATAAGTAAAACAAATTCTCTCGTTAATTTTGGTCCTTTCAGTTGAGCGGCTGCACAATCAAATACTAATGAACCGTATTTTGTCATATAAGCAGCTGGATTGCTTTTCAACATCGATACCATCTCTGTGAATTTTTCCGTATTTTTGTAGCACTCAAGAAGTTTATTGCACAATCGATAACAAAACGGTGAAACTGCCAACTTGATAAACACCGGAATCAACAAGGTGTAAATTTTTTCTTTAATTTCCTCTGAACCAAACTTGAGAGATACCTGCAACAGCCGACTAACAATGGGCCGACAAATCGCACTAAGATAATTCGCGTCCAGATTAGAAGTCTTCAAAGTCTTTAAAGCATCGACAATTAATTTCTCTTTGTAAAAGAGATATTCGATTGCTTCGGATATTATCTCTGGCAAGATTTCTTTATTTTTTCGAGCGTTTGCAATAATTAGCTGATAATATTTACCACATTCTTTGTCTAAGTGATAAAACGCAGACTTTTCTTCTTTATCGAGTTTTTTAACTTGTTTTTTAATTTGAGATTTTGAATATGTGTTTTCAGACGACAACTGTTTCTGAAGTTTTTGCCTTCTTAGGATAGTTCTCTTAGCGAAAGTTAAATTTTTGTCATCTTTTTTTTTCTGTACAATCGCCATTCTCTAAATTATTTTGGCAATGTAAAATTTTTCTATTCTTAATTAAAGCTTCAGCAATAATTGAATACTTATTTTCTCCAAATATATGACAATTTTAGAATTTATTCTAATTGTTAAAAATATTTAGTATTCCTACTTCGCTTGACGCATACGTGTCTATGTTTTTATCTGATAAATAGTTTTCAAACAACATTTCGCTTGCATTTCTAGCTATTTTTTTGATTTGTTCAATCACAAGCGGGTTGAGACTTTTTTTACAAAAAGCTTCTAAACCTAGAACGTCTCCTTTAGCGTCACAAGAAATGCAAACTATAGAATCCACGGAGCTTTCTTCATTCGCGTTTAAGTCGACTATTATCTCGTTGCCAAAAACACCTGCCGAAATAATAATAGGAACTTTGTTCGAAAAGCCCAAAGATCGCCATTTATTGGGCTGAACTGTGAATGTTATGTCGTTATAGTATTCAACTCTCAATCTGTACAACTCTCGTTTATTGATTTGTTCCTGACCTATTTTTTGTAATAAACTTTCGTTAATTTTTTGCAACGTTTCAGAAGAAATTAAGGCTCGGTCACTTTTTAGACACGCAACAAATTCAGGTATTTTGCATGTTTTAAGCGCTGTAGCAAGTCCAATACTAGTGACAGTGTCAAGAGAACCGCCCGCTTTCAGCACAATAACGTCAATAAACAAGTGAACGTTAAAAAAACCTTCGCATATTGCCAGTGTTTTGTTGACTCCGTCAATTAGATCAATAGAAAGGGTATTCATAAGGTGTTTAAGTTTTTCTAATCGCTTTGTTGACACTGATGTATGTGAATCGCTTGCTCTTGAAATGTTCGGATAATTTTTCAACGTGCTCGTTCCTACTATGGACATCACATCTAAGTGGATGAACTGGTCTATTTCCGGTGAGGACGTGAAAACCTCTGCTCGCACGCCAATAATGACGTGGTTGTCGTCATTTAAAATCTGCACGCTAGATAAACAATTATTTAAAACTGAAAGGCTTAGCCAAATCCGTTTGAATTGGTAGTTAGCTCGACCATCTAAGCGAACGTTATGCAAAAAGGAAGCTTTGATACAAGCCTTATCTGCTTGTTTACCTTGGTCCATTTACGTTTTTTGTAAAAAACACTCTACATCAAGTAAAATTGCAACGCTAAGCTTTACAATTTATTATTTCTAAATAGAAACCGAACAGTTGATTTGAAAATTTTATTTTTTTAGTTTTTATTGCAGACTATTTTTAAATTTGCAGAATTAGATATATTCATCTTTAATTGCTTGTAATAATTTTGCGAAACATCCCGTATTGTGTATCGCGCTGGCCAAATTCTTTGTATATTCAGAGCTTATATGGGGCAAGTTAGTGTAGTCATTCAAAAAGCATTCGATATCTTGCTTTGTAATTATATTTATATTTAATTCGCCAAGGTTTTTCGCTGCGCAAAATATTTTATTTTTCAGTTTTTGTGTGATCAGTGTTCTATAATTTTGGTTCCTGATCTGAGTTTCTATTAGTTTGTAGAAAGCTTGTCGAAAATCGTTTAAAACATGTTCCAAAAAAAATTCCTGTAGATAATTGAACGATTTGTAATAAACGCCTTGTTGAATTGCTTTATTGCTTATAAGTTTTGGATATTCATAAAGCAAAATCCCTAATTCCAACACTGTAATAGTTTCCAAGGAAGTAACTGTTTCTTTGACTTTCTTATAACTGTTTGGAGGTAGCAAACAAGACATTAGAAGCGCTTTAAAAGTTTCATTGCAAGCATGATTTTTGATAATCATGACTAGAGAATCATTTGCATTGGTCAATTTGATTATTTTGTTTGAGTAAACATGACAAACCGCAATTGCCGCTAACAGAAGAGTGTAAAAATACTTGTACTTTTCGATAAATAAGCAAAGTTCGTAATTAGTGTTATGAGTTTTTTTGTCGCTGAAATTTAAAATCCAATACAAACTTTTTTTGACTAAATCCATATTATTAACCGCAGAAAAAATGGTACATATCCATTTATAGTAAAGATATAGTTCATGCTTCTTTAACTTTGGAAGTACTGCTGCTACCACAGAATCTGAGGGGAAACCAATGCTAATCGCAGCATTTTGAAATATATCAAATAGCTGCGAAAACAATATGTCAGGAAATTTTGTAATAGAAATGTCTAGTATCTGTTCGCTTTGTAGGTCTTTCAAAAACAGAGTAAACAAGAAAAGCCAAAATCGATTACAATCAATTTTTTCAGTATGTTTTATAACTGTATTAGCTAGGAGTTTTATCTTATGAACGTACACATCAATGATATCGTCGATGAATAATTCAATATTATCAGTATTCTTATTTATATTGATGATATTATTGGATAACAGATTGAAACTAGCTAGGCTCGCGCTTATGTTGGCGATTTCTAGATCAGTAGAAGTTTCAAGACATTGTAACCACGCTTTTTTGTAATCAATTTCTTTATAAGGAAAAAATAAAAAAATACTTTCCACCAACGAACGTGTCAAAAACTTGGCAAAAATGGCTCTTTTCAAATAAATATGAACTTTTTCAGGAAGATAGTTAATATATTTAGTTATGAAACAATACGCAGTGTATTCAAGTGGTAGTTCGTCAATAACGCTGTTCAACTCAGAAATCAGCTCTGTGTCACTTTTCCCATTCAAAACTTTTATTTTTTTTTGTTGGCAAATTTTAATTAAGTTATGTATACTCGACGAAACGTGTTTCGCATTATTGCACGGGTTTATTTCTTCAATAAGTGAATGATAAAATTGCTTAAGATCTTGATCAAGCAATTGTTCGACGGCGCAAGAATCTATATTCAGTGGACAAAGGTCGGATTGTACATGAGCATTTTTTGTTTCCAACTGAGAAATAAGTTTCAACAATCTATGAGTGTCTAATTGCAACTGATTGCTTGGTTTTATGTCGTGATCGAGAATTTTTTCTAGTTTAACTGCGTCAAACGGTGGGATCTTCTGCAAGATATATGAAATTTCATTAATATAAGTCATAAAATTCTACTATTAAATCAACATGTTTTAAAATTGATCAAAATAAATAAAAGGAGTTTTATCAGAAATTTCAAGACATAACAAAACAACTTTGTCGAAATTATTATTTTTTGTAATAGTAGATGTGTAATTAATCCAATGTATTAAAATGATGACAAACAAACTCAGCTCATTCGTAGGATTTATTTCGATGAGGAGAAAACCAACTGGATTCGACACCCAGGTCTGATTTATTTTTTAACTTTTTTGACTCTGGCATGCCAGCTAGCCTTTGCAACTTTATTTGCAATGAGCTCGTTTTTCATTGCCTAAAATATTTGGATGCGCTATGGTCTACGGATTTTTTTTTCCCGTGAGCAAGTTACATTGTTGTTAATCCGTACAATCTTAAAATTCAAAATGATGATTCTGTTTCAGTTCTGCTACTGAATATTCGTTGTAGAGAAACTTTCCGATCTGATCTTCTATATTGATTTTTTTTTTTCCTTTTCTTTTATTATTAAAGAATTCATTCAAATTTTGGCTTGTAATTCCTTGACTGTTTGCTAAATCGTTAGACTCTATTACTCATTATTGAGATGAGTTTTTGGCGGCTAATTCAAGATAAATACGTACTATATAATTATGACTGTTGTGTTTCTGCGGAGCTATATGATTTTCAAGCGGCAAATAAGCTTTTTGAATACGACTCAATCTATTTGGGTTCGACAAATTTAATTTTGGTCAATCAAAAAAGCGTTATTATTTTGGGCTATGAAAATTCAAAAAATAAGAAAAGTCCAGGCGAAAAAAACTCTGCAGAGATTGTTTGCAACAATGGAAGATTTTGTTATCTAAGTGAAAACACTTCGTGCAACAGCTTTAAAACTAAAGAGATCAAAATAAAGCTAAAAGGCGATCGTTGTGATAAAATTCTTGCGTCAATTGACGCCATCTTAGGCTATGATGACCAGCAACTGAGAAAACTCGCTATTAAGCTTTTCGATAAGCATTTTAAAAATGGGGCTCTCTCGTTTATTCGTTGCTATCTCGGAACGTACTATGTTTATTGTGTGATAAGCGTCTTAAATTTGGCTTCATTTTCGATATCGTCGCTGTTCCGCCCTTTGCCTGTGGAGCTTGACGGCGGGTTCCAGCTTTATCACAAAAAATTTTGTTGTGATGAAGTAGCGTACTTAATCGTCCAACTAGATTATAGTGAGGCTTCGAGCAAGCTAGAGTTTTTAAATGTGATTATTCACTTCAAATGCCCAGCCCAAAATTCATTTCTGTGCGGGTTTGAAAAACATAACGATTTGACTACTTTTCTGTCGTTGTTCAACCCAAATTGCATAGTCGTTTTACCCACTTTTGAAACCATTTATAAATCAAAGCTTGGCTGTACTAATGAGTTATTTTATGCAATCATTACGCGATGGAAACACAACGAGCTCTCAACTTTCCAATTTCTTAATTTTCTCAACGAATGTTTGATGCGGCACAGGCAAAAATATCACGAGTTTCCGATATTTCCTTGGTGTCTAACGTATGGCTATGCAAACCTGACCAAATCTATTTTAGCTCCAGATATTAGTTGTCTCGGTTGTTTATTTGAGTCTTACTCAAAAGATAAAAACAATATCATTAATATTCGTAATTTATCTCTGAACGTGAGTGACTATAAAACTTCAAGCTACTACGAACAAGTAAAACAAAACTTACAAGAACTAGGGTTTAAACATACTACACACGTTTCAAATACTTTTTACACGTGTTCCTGGCTGAGGAACATTGATCCGCAGAATTATTTATTGATTAACGACTTCAAAACTGAACTGCCTGAACGGAAGTTTATTTCTTACGAAGACACGTGGACGAGGCTCATCGCGAGCGGATCGACTTCGTTTGAACAAATTGCGCAATCGTATCGAATAAATGAGTTCGACCACTTAATGTTCAATATTGAAGACGACTTTGAAGTAGATCTTCACAAGGAAATAGCTGCAATGCTAGCAAATTCCGAATTTGAAGAAGAGTTTTTGAAACTCAATAGTTTTAAAAGCTTGCTGCCCGGCGTTTGGATGAACTTTCTAAATCGTTTATTTCTCGAATCAAGCTATACACGACGCGCTTTGCATAAATGGATTGCAATTATCTTCTGTGAAGCTACTGATTGTTACCCTCCTGAGAGTTATATTTACACGAATTTAGACAAAGAATTTGACCAAGCTGTTATGCACAAAGTGGTGGAGTTTGGAATTTCGCCTCCGAGGTTGCCTGACACTGTGCTGTCCGATTTGCATATAGCAGACGTTGATTTATTTCACTTTTCCTATTTTTTCGACGCTCATTCAAATAGCTTAAAAAATACTGAAGCTCAGCACTATGACGGTATGCAATTTCACTCGATTCTTAATAACTGCAAAAACTCATTAGGAAAAGACAAGATTTTGCTATTGTGGAAATTGTTCCTGCGCTCGCAAAAAATCATGACCTCAGATTACACTATCAGAAATACGAACTGGTTTGTACATTCTCCTTTATATTCTTCCCCAAAACTCGCTCTGAATCTTTCTAAGCATATCCATAAGAAATTTTTTTTTCTGCAGCTGTGCAGTTCACTTAACAGTCAACTGTACCTTTTTCCGCCTTACTATGTAATCATTGTGTCGAAAATAATGCAGCTTTTCTCTGCTTCTACTGAGAAGCAGATTTTTTCTTTTACTTTTGAAGATTCACCGTACTACGTCAACGGATTCTTTAGCAACTCAAATTTAAAACTGTGGATTTTGCTCAAGTCGAACCGACTCTACGAGTTAAAAGTGCGTGCCGAAGACGTTGAACTTGTTCAACACGACGCAAAGCTTCGTGGTACAGTGAAAAAAATTTACCAGTTCGAAGAATATTTACTAATTCTGCTAAACAACCAAGAAGTGCAAATTTATGATTATTCCCAGAAAAAACGAGTAAACAACAAGTCACATTTTTTTAACAGTAAATTAAAGTGTATTCTAGGTGTCTCGTCTGGGTATTTCGTGTCATTGTATTCAGGATTGGTAAATTTTGTTCCGTATTCAGTATCAACCGAAAAAACACCTTACGTGTTGTTTCAATGCCCTGAGTCCTTGTTCTGTGAAAAGATTTTCATGATCGATCAGAACGCGTACCTTTTATACATGAAGAAGACGAGTTCAAACAGTCTAGCCAAGCAGAATTTTAAGTTTTCTTCATATTTTTCAGACCAAAAGCAAAATTTAAAATTGTCTGAACACTGTAAGAGTACATTATTGCTTTATTTTTGTAATGATCAAAAAAAAATTGAAAAATTGTGTATTTTCAGCTCTGAAAAATCTAGTGGGTTATCCAAAGAAATAAACGCGTTAAAAAGCAATTACAATATACAGACGGTAAAGCTATTCAAACACGATTTGGTAAACATTAAATTTCTCAATAATAATAAAATATTGCTGCTAACAGTCGAGTTCAAGATACTTATGTTAAATCTGTTAACATTAGAAATTGAAGCGTTACTAAACTTAGACTCATGCAAATACAACTGTTGCAAACTAGTTAAGCAAAACAAAACTATGAGGTACGATCCATCGTTACATACAGATGTTCCCAAACACCTTGCACAACTTATGGAATCCAATCAGTTCACTTCGCCGTACGATGATCACATATGTCAAAACAACTGCCGTTTTTTTATTGGCCCATACTCAATTGCTGTTATTAATAACGATGATATTTATATTTGGTTTTAAATAAATATCTATTAATTAATTTTTATATAGTAAACTATTTAGAAAAAAACAGGAATCTGTAACACATTTGCTCAAAATGACTGAAAAAGAAACGCCTGTCGTTTTGAAACAAGCTCCAAATAAGTTGTTCGTAGATGACGTTGTCGAAGAAGACAACAGTATTGCTTTGATGCATCCAAACAAATTGAGTGAATTAAAAATCTTTATTGGTGATATCGTACTTGTAAGGGGAAGACTGCGAAAAATAACTTGTTGCATCGCTAAAGCTGACGAAACTATAGATGAAAACAAGATCAGACTGAGCAAGGTTGCGCGTACGAACGTACGCGTGAAGAGTAGCGATGTCGTGTATGTGAATGTTGCAGCAGAAGCTTCATTCATAAAAGTAGCACACATTCTGCCGATTGCAGAAACGATTGAGGGTGTTACTGGCGACTTTTTTGATATTTACTTGAAACCTTATTTTAAAGATTCGTTCAGACCACTGCACGAAGGAGATATTTTTGTCGTCAGAAATAATTTCCATCCCGTCGAATTCAAAGTTGTTTCTGTTTCGCCCAACCCGTACGGTATTGTAAACAGAGATACTTTGATCAAAACAAACGGAGATCCAGTGCCTCAGAATTCAGAAGAATCACTTGAAGAATTGTGTTATAGCGATATTGGTAGTTGTAAAAAGCAGATCAACCAGATTCGAGAAATGATTGAACTGCCACTTAGACACCCTAAGGTTTTTAAAACTTTGGGAGTAAAACCGTCTAAAGGTTTATTGTTATACGGACCGCCTGGCACGGGTAAAACTATGTTAGCTCGAGCCGTTGCAAATGAAACCGGAGCTTATTTCTTCTTGATTAACGGGCCAGAAGTCATGAGTAAAATGTCTGGTGAAACCGAATCAAACCTTCGAAGAGCTTTCGAGGAAGCGGAAAAAAATGCGCCTGCAATCATATTTATCGATGAAATTGACAGTATTGCCCCCAAGAGAGATAAAACTAATGGAGATGTCGAAAAAAGAGCTGTTTCGCAACTTTTGACATTGATGGATGGGTTGAAAACACGAGGACATGTAGTCGTCCTCGCTGCGACTAACCGGCCAAACGCAATTGAACCTGCGTTAAGACGTTTCGGACGTTTTGACCGAGAAATAGAAATCGGTGTTCCCGACGAAAGCGGAAGGTTCGATATTTTAAAGATTCATACGCGTAACATGAAACTCGCCGAAGACGTTAAATTGGAAGCTATAGCTGAAAAAACGCATGGTTACGTTGGAGCAGATCTTGCTCAACTCTGTTCTGAAGCTGCTCTTTGCTGCGTTCGAGAAATGATTTCAGTCATTGATTTCGAAAGTGATGAAATAGACACGATGATACTAGACACATTCAACGTTAATATGGATCATTTTAACCAAGCCTTGAGCCTTACTCATCCGAGTAGTTTGCGTGAGACAATCGTTGAAGTTCCTAAAGTTAAGTGGTACGAGATAGGAGGACTCGAGAGTATCAAACAAACGCTACACGAAATGATTCTACATCCAATGACTTATTCCAAAAAGTTCGAAGATTTTGGTTTAAGTCCCAGTCGCGGAGTTTTATTTTATGGACCACCAGGATGTGGTAAAACCTTACTAGCTAGAGCAGTGGCGTCTGAGTGCTCTGCCAACTTTATTACGATCAAAGGGCCTGAACTTTTATCTTCGTGGTTCGGAGAGTCTGAAGCCAACGTACGAGAAATCTTCGATAAAGCGCGTTCGGCCACACCTTGTGTTTTGTTCTTCGATGAACTCGACTCGATCGGTATTCAGCGTGCTTCTTCAGCAAACAGAACCGGAGTTGAAGACCGTGTTATGAATCAGTTGCTTACGGAAATCGACGGTATTGCTGTAAAGAAAAACGTCTTTTTTATTGGAGCGACAAACCGTCCAGAACTTTTGGATGAAGCGCTTCTAAGACCTGGGCGATTGGATCAAATCATATATATTCCATTGCCTGACTTGAAATCAAGACTCAGTATTTTGAAGGCTTTGACTCACAAAATGCCAATTGCAGAGGACGTCCCACTTGACTTCATTGCGCTGCAGACAGAGGGATTTTCTGGGGCAGATTTAGCGGAGCTGATTCAGCTCGCAGCGAAATCAGCTATCAAGGAAAATATAGAAGAAGAACGAATGTGCTTGGAAGCCAATGGTGTCGTCGAGAACACTAGAAACCAAATAACTAAAAAAGACTTTGAGATTGCGTTTTCACAAGCTCGTTGTAGTGTCAATTCTGCGGATTTGGCTAAATACGAAAATTTCGCCAAGAAATTTGACCCAGGATATAAGAAGAGAAGTAAGGTAGAGTCAGGAAATTTCAACATTAAATGGCCTGAATCATCAGAACCTGCGCGACAGGTTTTTGAAATAGATGACGAAGACTTATACAACTAAAGACTAACCTCGTCCATATTATTAATGCAAAACATAAATTTATGACAATGATTTAATTTGCTGTAAATTCTAAAAGGGAAAGTCGACTAATTTTACTGTATTTATAATTTTATATAGTGGAGTTTGCTTTATAAAGTCATTATCAAGCGACATTGAATTTTCTCCTTTGTGCTTCAGCATATTTGCGCTTGAACGAATATATTTCAGGTTGTTTTCGAATATTGTTGCGAGATCTGTAAATTTCAGCTTTAACGCCGAATTAATGCTTTGGTCATTTGATAACTCCTTGCTATAATTTTTTATCACGCGTTTTATATTGAGTATTGCCATATTTATTGTTTCTAAATTCGCCAAGTTATACGAAAGATAAAGAATGTATTCAACAAGTAGTTGTTGAATAGCTTGCGAAATCAGTTCGTGAGTCTGGAAATAATACCCATATTCTCTATTTAGCCTAATTACATACATGACGTCTAATTTTTTCAGCAAGCTAATGTAATTTTTTTGGTACGCGAGCGTATTTTTACAGCTTATGAGTTTTATTAATGTTTCTAATTGCGTCAGCAAAGATTCCCCAATGGGTAAAGACTTCTTGGTCGCACGCATAAGGGCAAGTGTAAGGTTTATGATGTTGAGAGTATAAGGCATAAGAAATATGTTCTGAGATAACGAGTTTAGTAAATACGAGAAGAAAGAAAAGTAGCCTTCGGATAAGTTTGAAAAGGCGTAATCTTTGTTAATAGAAGAAACACTACTTTCGAGCGTCATGGTTTTGATTATGCTAGCCGCGTTAAAAAGAAAACTCCAGTTAAAAATTTGATTATCAAAGTCAAATATGCTTTTGTCTTTGTTGTTTATCGCTAAAATAGTTTCGTTCATATGCCTTGAAAAATCGTTGAAAGCGGCTGTATAAAGCTCAACGTGGTAACCTTTTGCTTGCAATTGAATATAGTAAACGGGCAATTTATTTGTAAATGTAGTTAATCGTGATACTTGCGTCGTATTTAATTTTCGTGAGCAGTACGATGAAATTGCCGAAAATAGTTTCTTGATAAATACGGAAAAGTACATTTTGTGCTCGTCATTGTATTCATTTTCGATGAAATAATGAAACAAATCTTCAAATCCAACGGGGAACTTTTCTTCTTTCGCGCTCATTAATGAGCTATACAAAAATTTTTTGACGAACGAAGAAAATTTATCTTCTAGCTTAATGATATATCTGAGCAAAGGCAAGTCAATTTTATAGCAAAGCTCAAAAACGATTTTGTTATTTGGTCTCTGTAAACAGAAAAAAGTATTAGTGTCTTTCCAAAAGTTTGTCATTTGTTTCTGAATCAATTTGTTTCCGTCATATACAAGTAAAATAGACGACAGTTTTTGCACTATTCGTGAAATCAAATCCGTAATATCAATGACATCTTGTGCTAAATCGATTGGTTTGTTTTTGAGAAAATTAACGCTTAATTCAGTTGTTTTATCTTGCTTGCGTTTATTCTGATTGACACTGCCACTCGAAGCTTTGTCAGCTTCATTGTTTCTCAGTAAGGAGCGATACACAGTGACTAAATGCTTAACAAAAACGTCATTGGGCAATTCATCAGTATAGCTTAAAAGTTCTTCTATATCTTTTAGACATACAGTACCTCCTGTTGTATTATTTGACCTCCAAGCAGAATTAGACATTTTTAAGACGGTAATTGCTGCAAATAAAAATGTAGGAGTCTTCCAAAAACTAACTTCTTTTGAAAGAATAAAATTAATAATTTTCTTTATTTCTAAAAGGACAAAAATGTTTCTCGGAGTAAATTGTGGTACTGGTTATTTATCTGACAATGTTGTTTCGACTTAACATAATTTCACTGAACTGTTTAATCTTAAAAACTTTTTAAGTAGTCTTGCAATTTTGTTTGGCGCTTCAAAGACTAACAAGTGATGGCAGTCAAGGAACGATATTATTTTGTAATTCGTAAGCAGCTTCAACAAATTGTCTTTCAATTGATACGGAGTGACTGTGTCTTTGACTCCCCAAAACACGAAAACCTGCTTCTCAGATTTACCAATATCTGCATAAATCTTGGAAGCATCCCAAAGAGGCATTCGAACTATGCAACCTAGTATTGCTTCGAAAGTTCTTTTTTTTTTAAATAAATTCCATCTTAAGGTTTCTAAGTGTTGTGCAGACTGGATTGAACTGTTGGACGGTTGATAATCACCTTGTCTGTTAGTGTAACAATTTATATTGTTGAACTTTGTTTGCTGTTCTTCGTGGTTTTGTTTTAATTTTTCACTGTAAAAGTTAGGACATTCTTCTGGAATCCCTGTAAATGAATTTTTTATCGAGTCAAGGGACGCATTTGATATTTGTCTTGATATTTCAGCAATATATTTTCTGGAATATGTAGAATTGTCTGGAACAGGCGTGTGTCCTGTCCCTTCAATATTTTTCAAAGTGTTATTTAATGTTGTGACTTCAAGTTCATCGCTCTCATCATAGTTTTTATACCTTTTGTTGGAGCTTGAGTTAATAGGCGTTGGTTTGGTTTGAATAATCGCACTTTCACAAATGCAGCAAGAAAAATATTTTACAAATACAGTCAAAAGCTTTAATAACGGGAAATACTTAGGGGGTTTCCCAATAAATCCAGCTGGAGATATTAAAAATATTTTAACTAGTCGATCTAAATTTCTTCTAGCGAATTCGCAAGCAACAACGCATCCTAAACTGAAACCTACTAAAGAAAACGGTTTTTTATCTAAATGAAGCTTTATTAATAACTCCTCTAGCTGTATAGCAAAAAATTCAGGAGTATATCTCTTTGCAGTAAGCATGTCAATAGAGGGAGTTGCAGAGAGCCCATGACCGTACAGATCATACGCAATGCAAAATACAGGATCTCCCTTCATCGATGAAATTAAGTGATTAAAAGAGTTAAGAGATCCATTTAATCCATGGAAAAATATTAACTGTTATAATAACGTTGTAGTATCTCCCAACTTACCAGATCATCGTCTCGATTCCCAAAAGTTCTGAAGTGCGTAAACCCATGACTTAGTCTAACGCATTTGTAAATTTGGAACGGGCATTTTTCATTTCTATAGTGACTTTTAATTATTTTCTTGTCGATATCATTAATTAAATAATCTTTATTAATAGATTTTGGTCTATTTTTGCGAGTATTTTCATTGCAAACACTCATAAACCACGAAATAAATATTTATGACTAATCTACGCTTTATAATTTTAGTGTGTGCTGATTATAATTGGAACTGATGTACAAAATATTGTGGAACAAATGAATGAATTATGAAATAAGACCTTGTTCTTTCTTGATTAATAAAAATTTGACTTCTGAAAAAAACGATGATTTGAATAATTCTTTAGACATCCCTAACGAAAGAAAGTGCAGTACTTGTTTGTTGATAGAGCCAATAGTAAGATGTGATACTTGTTTTTGCTTCCTTTGCAGAGCCTGCCTTATCGAGAAATCTCATCCTCTTGATCATAAACTAAGTTATTATGATTTGCAAAATGCTTGTTACAAAGAATCAGATCTAAGGACCAATGAAGTCTTCGATAGAGCTGAAAAAAATACTGATTATGTATTTTCTAAAAAAAATTTAATTGTCGATGCCAAAAATAAATCTGTTCACGTTATAGGTGAAAAACACACAGACTTAGCCAAAACTCGAACTGCAAGCTGCAATTGTAAATTTTGTTACAATTGTTTAAAAAAAAATAATCTTGACTCATATGAAGATCCTTCATTTGACTTTAACACCAACTTTAAAGTAGTTCCGACCGATCAACAGCAGCTAGATGCTTACTTGCAAAATGTTTCTGTATGTGAAACTTGCAATTTTCAAGTTGTTAACGAAGAAGAGACTGAAAAGCACAAAAAAGAGAAACACGTCATTCTTACTCCCGAAGCTGCACAAACTAAAATTCAAGATATTTTGAGAAATTTTGCAGATTATTTTGCGTCCTTAGCAGAAAAATTAGAATCGATACTGAACCAATGTGTTCAATTCAAATGTAAACTACCTAAAGAATACGATTTTATAGATGATCATCTTGAAAAAGCTTTTCTTTTATCTGAAAAAGCTATAGAAAACAACAAACTTCGGCTTTTGTCAAGTTTAGAAGAGTTTTTCCAAAAAAAAACTGAAGAACTGAAAAAATTAGATGATGTTTTATATTGGTTTGATAACGAGTTAACAGAACGAGAAACTACCATTGCAAAAATTATTTCACTTGCTAAAACTTCAAAAGTTCAAGCGATAAACATGTGGAGAAACTACGAACGTCAGAATAATATGAGTGGAAATAAGAACCTTAAACATAAGCCAAACGCACTAATATATGAGTATCGCTGGAAATATATCGAAGAAATCGAAAATTCAATTAAAAATTGTATGAAAATAGCGAAAAAATATATCGTGCAATCTGGAAATTCAGTAAAAACGTTTATCAATGTTGCTACGCTTAAATACAGCAAACTAGATGAAAAGCTGAACGAGGACATCAATTCTTTACAAGTTGAATCGTTACATGATTTCCAGATGCTTCAATATTATTTAAACATACCGGTGAAGCCAACGAAAGGACAACTTGCTGTGGCAATGACGTATGGAACTTCTCTTGGCAAGCCAATCGCTATTTCAGGTTTTGGGAGAATGGATACATTCCACAAATCCTGGGATAAGGTAATTTGTGCTATTTACAAAAGTCAAGTTTTAGCCATATACAGTAACGTTGCCATTAACCGAACAAAACCTACACCAAACTCAAATAAAGTTATGCCACTTCTTTCTACAGAAGGAAAAAATCAAACCGAACAGTTCCTTAGAAGTCCACCTGAGAACTTGTTGCAATTAAATCAACTTAACGCAACTTATATCGCTCCTAAATCTGAATATACTGAAAACTCGATTAATAACTCAGTGACGCCTATAGGTAAAATAATGGAATATAAATTAGAAATCCCAGCATTGGAGATTACGAAAATCGTGAATGAAGTGATAGTTGGCTGGTGGGTCTTGGTTCATTCAGACAAATCGCGTGTACTAAGCTGGCTCGACTTAATAAATAATTATAAAACAGAAAACGAAGACTCAACCCACGTTTATCCCCGCGCTTCAAGTAGAAGTATTCCCACAACGAATCCGGGAATTACGCCTGAAGATCTGGGTATTTCACAGCCGATAATTGGAAATCACTGGGCAGTTAACCAACTTTTTACTAGTCACGAAAATGAAGTTCGAAAGTGAACTGACATTGTTAAGTCACCTTGTTCTGCAAAAAAAAAAAATTATTATGACAACAATTAAGTAATACTAGTTTAACATGCAAACAAATATGAATAAAATAAAGTATAATATATTATTACAAAAAGTTTTGCAGCTATAAGCAAGTGACATATTTTTAATCATCGTTTTCGGAGTTGCTTCTGACAGTAGCCTTCTTACGAGCGACGCGTCCAGGTCTGCCTCCGCCGTAAGGCGAGCTTCGAGAGAAATCAATGTGTTGATCACTAGATAATCTGACTAGGAATGATGGAACGTTCACAGTCTGCGATCCAACTCTGATGTGTCCTTGTCTGATCAAAACACGGGCGTGGTGAATGGAACGGGCGTGTGATTGTCGGAAGACACGAGTTTGCAATCTTCTTTCGAGAAGCTTGTGGAGAGTTAGTCCTAAGACAAAATCGAGTTTGCATTCGGATTCGTTGAGGAGTCCATATCTTACAAGTCTGTTCATTAAAGCGTTGGCGTGAAAGATTCTCTCGGGGTCGTCTTCAGGTTTGATAAGAAGTTCTCTCGCAGCTTTTCTAATCTTAGCGAGTAACATTTTCACTCTCCAAAGCTCTCTCTTGTTCTTAAGACCGTATTCTCCGACTAATCTGAGTTCGAAATTAAGACGTTCCTTTTCATAAGGTCGTTTGGGGTTACGAGAAGTTTTAGAAAAGTTTTTGTAATTTCTAGTCATAATATTTTAGTGCGCTGAAATATCTAAAACTATTGGAAACGCGCGAAACTAAATATAATAAATAATTTGTTTCATAAATTAAAGAAAAAAAAGACAAAACATTTCCAAGTATAATGAAGCTGGTAATACTTTTATTACTTAGATGTTCTTTATGTTTCCGTAAATACTATTACTCGTATGACTCAAAATATATACCACAAAAAAAAAAATATATATCAAATTCCACACTTGTTGAACAAAATTATAAACAAGTAATCAATTTTATATTCAATAATAATTTTGATAAATATGATGTAGACATAGACGATTTCGCTGTCAATACTCAAAATAACGCTGTAATACCGCATAGAGATAACGAAGCGATTTTTAGATCTTTACATTTGTTGCACGAACCAACGATTTATTATGCTCGGTATAATAAACCAAAAAACATGGATGCGACGGCCTTTAAGGTGAAAAGAACTATAGGAGGGCCAAAAAAGCCTATTATAGAAGATCCTATAAAACATGCATGGGATTTTTTTAATATGAACCCAATCACATACGAGGATATGATGTATTTTAAACCAGTAAACACGAATCCTGTGCTTTCAACTATGAAGGACGACAAAAAACTATTTGCCGGCGTGACTAAGTTTGTGTGGTATAATCCAAACGAAGCTCCCCCGCCTAGCACAATACCTCTAATATTGAATAGTTGGTATGATCTTAATTAGTTGGTAATCTACAGGAACTCTATATCATAACTTTCATAAAGATCATGTTGATTGATCGTTTCTTGAGTTGAATTAGCTCTTTTCCTTGCTTCAGAGACATTGCAGGAGTTAGGTTTTTTTTCAATAGGTTTTTTTAATATTGGTTCGAGCGGTTGTATGCTATATTTATCAATAATTGCAGCTTTAGACGGAATCGAATCTATTGTGGTATCTACGCCGAAAAAATCAATAATTTTTTTGACATTTTTTTTTTTTATATAATAATTGTGGATATCGTCGTGAAGAGGCTCATCATTAATTTTTTTGCAGAAAAGATTATTTTTTAGTTTGAAATTTTTGCCTCTTTTTTTTAAGGTTTTTCCAAATCCTCCTTTTCCTCCGAATAGTTTTATTGTACAATAAATTTTTTTGTTAGTGTCTACTGTGTATTTGACTGTTGACAGGTCAAGGTTGTAAGTATTAAGAATCCTATTTAATTGGAGTTTAAAACTACCAGAGTTGTATTGAACTTCACCAATAATCTGGTATTGGGCATCGGTTGTGAGCAATAAAACTGGTGAGAAAAAAAAAGCTGACTTTTTAAGAAACATGACTAACGACCAAAATTTGATAGAACAGTACCGGTTGAGTAGTTATGAGCCGCTAAATCTGTACAAAGAGGACGCCTCTATTTTGTGTTTTTTAAATACCAAACTGGAAGACTGGACGCTGTACGAGTCTGTTTATCTGCTCCACTGTCCGTGTGGAGATATTTTTTCAATTACCAAAGCCGAAATTGCACAGGGCTACAGAATAATTGAATGCCCAAGTTGTTCCCTAAAAGTACGAATTATTATCTAAAATTATTATTATTAATTTTAATCGAGGAATGCGCACAGCCCACTGAAGAAGAGCTCGATGTGTTTCGAAGCTAGATGAGTTCAAGTTCGATTAAAATATTTATTACTACAGATTCTCATCTGGGGTACAAAGAAAAAGACGAAACGCTTTCCAGCGATGCATTTGTGAATTTGGAAAACGCGTTTCAACTGGCAGAACATTTTGACTGCGATTTGCTATTGCATTCTGGAGATTTGTTTCACACAGCTACGCCGTCGCATTGGAGCGTAAACAAAGCGTTAAAGTTGTTTTCACAGTACTGTCTCGGATCTAAACAACTTGAGATAAAAAACGTATCTTCCGAATACAATGCCTGTGAATTGCAACTAAACATAGACAAACAAAGTTCGATTAACATAAAGTTACCCGTCTTTTGCATTCACGGAAACCACGATCCACCGGTTTACATGCATAACGAGAAGTTTGGTGTGATGGACATTCTGACAAACGCCGGTCTGATTAACGATATAGGCAAAATCACTTCTTTTGACAAGTTTGCTATTAAGCCCGTCATCCTAAAGAAGAAAGATCAGTATGTGTGTTTGTATGGTCTTGGTTACATCCACGACGAAAAGATCAACAAGTTGTTTTTACACAGAAATATACACTTTGAGCCTCCACCAAAAGATTTAGAAGGCAAAGTATTTTGCATTTTGCTCTTGCATCAAAACCGATACAGAATCAAATCTGCTGTGAAACCTGAACAGTGTTTTGAAAACCAAAACATTCCCGATTTCATAAATTTGGTCGTCTGGGGACACGAGCACGAATGCGAACTTTCAGAAGTCAAACTAAACAGTCAAACTAGAATTTTGCAGCCCGGTTCTTCTGTCATCACCTCTTTGAAGTTACACGAGTCTATGCCCAAGAATCATTTTATTTTAGAGCTCAAACAGAATCGTTACAGACTTCATCGGCTTCCAATAAGCACGGCTCGGATATTTATTTATGATGAAATAGAGTCAGACAACGTCGTTGAAAGCGGCACCGTACACGAGAAAATACAGATCCTGATAGCAAAAGCTGAGGAAAAAACCAAAGAGAGAAACAACGATTACATTGCACAAATGAACATATGTTGTGAAAAATTGAACGTTAACAAAAAATTTCATCCGGCATTGCAGGAAAGGCTGCCGTTGTTGCGGTTAAGAATTTTTGCTCCAGGAATGAAGGTTTCTTTTTCCGAACTACAGCACCGATTTGCGCAGTCAGTAGCAAATCCAGACACTCTCGTACTGTATAGTCTTAAAAGGAAAAGCTCAGCTCTGCTTTCAGCAAAATCAGAAACCAAATCTGAGAACGAACAAGGGGACGATCCTTTAGGCCTGTTAAACGTCAATCTGAGTTGTTTGTGTCTCCAAGAATTAAATTTGCAAGTTAAAAGTGTTATAAATGGCGCTCCAAGTACGATACTGGAAAACTATATTGATCAAAAATATAACTCTATTTTTTATAACAAAAACAATATTGCTGCTGAAAATAATTCTATTTAAATTATATCATTTTCTTACACTGGTATTTTTTTTTTTTGTCATTGCCATGTAAAAAATTTTTTCTGAAAGTCCCATTTTTAATAAAAAATTTTGATACTGACATTCTGTTGAATTGGTTACTAAGTCAAACCGTAACGCACAAATAACTTAAAGCTTATTCTTCGAACCGAAAAATTTACAAGCTTATAAGACCTAACAGCTCGTCTGCATTCTGCATGCTTTAATATAACGATAAATTTATTCTATGTACATTAGAAAAAGTAAAGTTGCCAAGACAGTATATCTTTTTTTTACGCTTTCCAAACTAATTGACGCTAATGAATCGATGAAAAATCAAACTATTGACGCTCAAATAATAGATATACTCCAAAAAGAAATAGTTTCTACTGAACACCATTCATCTAACTTCTCGCGTGAACCTAATTTCACAATCGCCAACTTTAAAAGTATCCATGCTCAGCTAGAAGATAGCTTAACTGCTAGTGTTTTGAACTTTTTCGAAAAACCAAACAGTACTTTGACGATTAACGCCTTTGATGACTAAATCGATATCCGAATTTTTTTTTGCGAGTGCAGTTCTTCACAGTTTTATTGAGAAACTCCAATACTAAAACGAGATTGAGTATTTTGGCAGCTTTCTTTTAAAGATACCGCACTAAATAACTTACCAGAACATTTAACGCCTACAAGATTGCTCCTTATTTTAGAAGTGTAATAATTACTTTTCCTGTGAACAGAAAAACGTAGTTTCTGCTTATTTAAAACGGTCTCCGGACAGACTTTGCTCATTTATAAAGGTTTCAATGTTATTTATATAAATTATGGCGCTTTATCATATTTTACAGTGTATGGAACGATGATGTTAATTGCTTTTTGATGAAAATAGCGATTAAGCAACACACAGAAAATATCTAGCGTTACCATGCGCATTTTTTCATCATTATTGTAGGAAACAGTCTTTTGATTTCGTTGTTGTGCAAATTAATTTTGGCTCAGTGCAAAAACAAAATATTATGTTCATTAATTAGCTGTTAAATTAGAATATAATTATTTACTAGAATAGCGATACTGATCTCTATGGTGGTTTTGCGCACAAGCTTTTTGTGTTTTAGTTTGCTTTACAAAATCAATGCTATAGATTTAGCGTCGCTCGGTTTAAGAGGCGACCGCATTGGACTTAAACCTGTAATAAACGTTCACACAATGATACCTCGCAAATCCAAGTATGTTCATAATTAAATATTTAATATATTTTAGACTTTTTCAAAATTCCGAATACATAAAACAACTAAATAATTATATAAACACCGAGGTAGACGAAAACCTATTCGCTGGACGAGTGTTTGATCTGTTGTCGAAGTCCAACCAGATGGCCGCATCGTAATCACGTTGTCGTTTAAAACGTACTTTTCATTGTAGCTAAGTAGTATGAAAGCTTACAATCATTGGAATATTGCCGATAATATTAAAATTAGCGCTACTAATAGGCATTTATTGTGCTATTATTTTTTCAATCTGTCATCAAATAATAAGTCTAGACACTCAATTTCAAAAAAAATAATACATCTACTTAACAAGCAAAAAGTCCTAAACTAAGCTAAATAATCTTATGAAAGCAATATTAAATATTGATATTCATGAATAACATACATCAAACATTACACATGCAAACACGTATGACTTGGGTTGTGAAAAATTATAAAGTCATGTCATCTGGACCGAAAACACCCACCAAAAAAACCGACACACCTGCTGTTCGTACAAATTCAATCATTGAAGCAACGCGCCACAAAAACCGCTTGCTGGAAATCGAAAACTTAAAAAACAAATCAACTGCGTTATACTTGAACGCGCTATCAGTATGGCACGAAGATTCCTGGCAAATAGTGAACAAAAAAAATCGGATAAGCGA